GTTTGTAGATTTCTCTCCTGTGGGGTCTCCTCATCTTCCAGTCCCTGTGACCCTCCCTCCCTATCAGCCTCCTTATCCGTAATTGGCGTTTCCTAGGCTAATGAGCAGTAGGGGAAGAAAGGAAGAAAGAAGCCTCTGAATGCTCTAATTGAATTCCTTCCCTTTTTATACGACCATTTCTCCTGTTGATTAAGGGAATTTTCTTCCCATATCCCAAAGTATTAGCTCAGGCATTTTTTGTTTGTTTGTTTGTTTGTTTGTTTTTTGAGACAGAGTCTCACTTTGTCGCCCTCAGTAGAGTGCGGTGGCATCATAGCTCACAGCAACCTCAAACTGTTTGGCTCAAGTGGTTCTCTTCCCTCAGCCTTCCAAGTAGCTGGGACTACAGGTGCCTGCCACAACACCCGGCTATTTTTAAAGGCAGGGTCTTGTGAGCTCAGCCAATCCACCTGCCTCTGCCTCCCACAGTGCTGGGATTACAGGCATGAGTCACCATACTCAGGAAGCTCTGGTGTTTCTTTAAACTTACAAATTAGTAGCATTTCTTTTTGGGTCAGGCTATTAATATAAGTGAGTGATTAAAATTAACCTTGAGATATATCATCACAGAATACATTCTTTTAGATTCATAGTAACCCTTACCTTGCAGTCCTCACACCAGTTCCAGAATCCATGAATCTTTGTTCAAATTCTGAAAGCACTTCATAAAGTATTTTTACTCAACGCTGTAAAGACATCTCATTTAATAGAACCTGATTCCGGTTTGACTCCTATCCAGAAAATGCTTTTGCAACAAAATACTTGACTTTCTTTAAAACATGAACAAAACGACCTTGTATTTCATGAGAAATGTCATTTCCCCCTCAGGGTGTCACATTCCCAGCCATGCATGCCATGTGGGCTTCCTGGGCTCCCCCTCTGGAAAGGAGCAAGCTTCTGACCCTTTCATATGCAGGTGAGATAACTTACTATTGATTTTCTCATAATTAACTAAAGCCACTTCCCCCATGTGCAATCATTTATTTCAAAAT